GCACACACTCTGGTGCCATGGAGGGTCCAGCACGTGGGGTACAAGATGCGCTCGGCCGATTGAATTCGATTGGGAGGGGCGTTAAGCGTCCTCTGTGGTGCGCCGAGTGTGTGCACTGATAGGAAGAATTTGCTGATGGCAGTTACAGGAAACGAAGTGATTTCTGCAGCTGCGAGGGAGTGAGCTCCACACTGCAACTGGCATCAGTGTCAAGCCGCCCCTCGCTGAGGTTTGCACAGCACGTTTGGGGTCGTCAGAAACCGTGCCTGTGGTTATGAGCCGGTCCATCCCAGGAAGTGAGATGAGGACCAACCCTGGAGAGACCACGTTAGTCCCCAGGCTGAGAATTCACGACAAAGCCGGGTGTGGGAGAGCCGAGCTGCATCCCCCACTTCACTGTGGGCTCCCGCCGGCTCCTCGTGCCCTTGGCTCTGAGATGCCCGGGGAGAAGGTGTGGGTACCTCCCCCGCTGAGCTGTGCTTCCGGTGTCAGGTCCTCAGGCTAGCCCCCACGCCGTACTCTCACACTGACTGCATGTGCTGGGGCCCCAGCCCTCCCACAAGGCCATGCTCTTTGTACCCTGAGCCCTCCAGAGCTTGGGGCTGCTTTGATGTCGGTAGTGAAGGAAGCTCTTGGGGATGCTGGGGCCAGAGGTGGGTGAACGGGCAGAGCAGACAGCAGGATCCAGTGGCCGGGACAGTCACAGCCCTAGAGGGCAGGGGGCAGCAGCAAGGGTCCCAGGGTGTCCCTGGTCCTCCCACACCTCCGCCGGCACCGAGTGACCACTGCTCCAGGGCCCCCAGAAGCATGAGACCCCCTGAAGCCTTTTGCGACAGAACGTGGGACCTTTCCATCTCGCCAAACGCGAGGACGGCGAGCGACAGCGTGGTCCCCGCGCCTCCCGGAGCATCTCCTGAGTCATCGCCCCCGGGCTCCAGGGCCCCGCGAGGCTGGCGTGTTCCATTACCCTTTCTCCTTGCGCTTTTCTTAGTAACATCCCTGGCACGGCTGCCGCACAGAGGCCTCCCAGAGACATTCTGTCCTGCTCAGCCCCAAAGGCTGACCCTGAGTCAGCGCGGCCGCCCTGACCCAGGAAGCTCCTTGTCACCCTGCCCAGGGCCCTGTGCGAGGTCACTGCGGTGCCCTTAGGCGGACACACGGGTGGTCAGCAAGGCCACGGCCATGGCTTGAAAGCAGGTGATGGTCCCTCCCAGAGCAGGGACAGGTGCAGGCAGCTGTTCTCCGCGAGGTTTATTTAGATCCTGAGTCTTCTGTCCCCGGGATTTGATTCCAGGGTCAAGGGAAGTTCCTGTGAGTGTGTGACACTGGATCCGGGGCCCAGCCGGGTCTGGCCCAGGCAGCCACGCCACACTGGGTCAGCAGTTCTGCCGCTTCCCTGGCCATCCGCCGAGGCACCCCCGTGGGCTCCTGACACAGCTGCACTCACAGCCCAGAGGGAAAGGGGGCCCTCCCTTGGCTCAACCCTGAACTCAGCACTGCCATTCTAGTGGGGTCCCCCTGCCCCGTCTCCTCCTGGGGTCTGTCTGGAGGAGCAGCTGGCCGGAGCACCATGAAGTCAGTTCTGCGCAGGTGCACAGTGCCAGGATGGACCTGCTCCTCAGCGGCCAGGGGCCAGGGCAGCCCCAGGGACTCTGCTGCCGCCCAGCACAGGGACCTGGACAAAGCATCACTGGCCAGCAGGAAGAGACCTCCTCTGTCGGAGGCTGAGGCGGCCGCTGCGGGTTCAGGGCTTGCTGATAAGTGGTCCCACTGGGAGGCAGTGTCGCCAGAGGAAAGAATTGACGATGATGAAAGCGGCAGATTTCCTGGGAGACAGTGTCCCTTGCAGGCAGCAGCAGGAGCCCTGGAGGTGGACACTGGGCGCTTTTCCTTCGGGTTCCAACACCGACTGTGTCCTGAGGCCTGGGGCCCCTGGAGCACTGGATGCCCAGCTGCAAAATGGAAACACCTTGTCGTTTGGGGTCATTTCAGTTCACTCTAAATATATGAGGGAGAGGCAGGGAGGACAGCAGAGAGCAGGCCCCTGGCGTGTGAGAGGAGCCCTTCCTTCCCCACCTCCACCTCCCATGCCGCCGCCCCCTGCCCCTCGGCCAGCTGTTGGCATGAGGTCCCCATCCTGACGGGGGCCCGGCCCTCACCCTGGGCTGCAGCCATGGCCTGGTGACCGGTTGTCCTCAACCATTTGGAAAATCAGGGCCAGGCCCCTCCGATAGAGGAGCAGATATGAGCTACAGGATGGTCAGCCAAGCACCCCCACCCCAGCTTTCTCCACCTGCTGCAGGCAGAGCTGGTCCAGCCTGGCCTGTCGCCACCGTTTCTAAGTCCTCAACTACTTGGAGGCCATCGTGCGCCTGCTGTTTGTGGCGATGTCCATCCTGCACTTGTATCCCTGTGCGGGGCGGCCCCGGGGGGCTGGCCAGCTCTCCGTGGAGGGCCTGCAGGGTGGCAAGGGACAGGGTGGAGGAAGAACTCACTGTCCGTCTTCTCTGCATGTCTGTGAGATACGACATCGCTTTGGTCACTTTCAGAACCTATCAGTCCTCATTGCTGAAAGTGTGGAAGTGGACACATCTGCCGTCCAGTGGGTCTGATGGGGGTCGGGGGGAGGAAGGATCCCAAAAGCAGGAGGTTGTACGAGTCCCCCTCCTTCTCGGGTCCATGTCGTCAGGAGCCAGGAAACCCTCTCTTAAAGGCTGAGTTGGGGTGGGTGGGAGAGAGGCTCAGCCTGTGGGGGGGGGGGGGGATTCCAGAACATTCTCTCAACCCTCACAAACGTGGCAGAGGCCATGCTTCTGCTGCAGAACTGGACCTTGCACCCAGTAGGCGTTCAGGAAGGCATGGGGCTCCGCCCCTGGCCAGGTGTGCCGCGAGGTGCGGGGGTCCCTGTGACCTCACTCGTGCAGGGTCCCCCCGGCGTAAGGGCGAGTTGCCCGCCCTCCATCACTGCCTTTCCGTGAGCAGGTTTCCCAACCCCTGCGGCCAACAGCGCTGCGGCACGGGGTGAGGCGCTGCCTGCAAACATCTTAAGGCATCTGCCCAAACTTCCGTGCTCATCCTGACCGACTGAACAATTGAAAGGTTCGCTTTCTGAAATCCCTTTTCTTACAAAATGCAATTAGCAGCTTTAACCTCCTGAGGGAATGCACCACTCGCTGCGCCCCGTGGGTCGGTTTTATCCAAGAGCTTCGCTTCCAGCGCTGCACCAGAGTGCAAGCCGAGGGGACGAGCCGACGAGCGTCCAGGGGTCTGGGTGGCCCAGGGGTGGGCACGCATGGCCATGTCAGGGGGCCTTGGAGGGAGCCTGAACCTGCTGCGTCCATGGCATATGGCAGCGTGGAGGCCCAAGCAGTCGCGAGAGCTTGACTTCGTCCAGCCCGGCTGCTGGAACGAAATGCCGCGAGCTGAGTAGCTCTAGACAGCAGCTGGAGGCTGCGGGCTGGGGATGCAGGGAGGGCTTCCCGGCTCATGCCCAGCACATTCTGACTGTGCCCTCCCGTGGGGCAGGGGAGTGCTTGCCCGGACCCCATCTGTGGGGCCCCACCTCCAGGAGCCAATCAGCCCCCGCAGGCCCCTCCTCCATCATCACCCTGGGGATTAGCTAACAGGGTAGGGACAGGAAGACACGCAGACTGCGCGGGGTAGCAGAGGGCGGCCCCAGGAGGGCCAGCCGACGCCCAGAGCACGAAGGCGGCAGAGATGGGCCGGGCCTGGAAGGCGGTCCCTGTGACCCCTGGGGCCTGCAGTGCCAGGAGGGATGAGGTGGGACCAAAAGGCAGTGGAGAAGCTCACAGGTGGGCACAGGACAGAGGAATGTGTAAGGCCTTGGCTCCAGGGGCGGGAGACCACCTGTGGTCCATTTCCGCTTTTCAGCCTTGGCCCGAGTGGAAACGTTATTTTTAGTGGAATATCTGGAATCGCCTCGTGTCCTCTTAGACCTCAGCTTGATCCCTTGGGCCCCAGGGGGCTCTGGTTTTGGATCCTTATGAGCAGGGCTCTATCGTGATGTGACATCACGGTGCCCCAGGGTATCTGTTGGGTGCCTGGTGGGGGGTGGGGGAGGGCCCAGGGGTCCTCATGCCTCTCTCTCTAGATGTCCCCAGAGTGACCCAGGATGTCCCTTGTGGCGTCCACACAGAGCTGACAGTATTCATCCCTGTTCTTGGTTTGGTGGGGAGAAAAAGGCACCGCTAAGTAGTCATGCAAAGGCGCTGCCGCCTCCAGGAGGGGGCGAAACTGCTTCAGTAGACATCCGGGAGCAGTGTCTGCTGGGAGGGGACACCCGGGGAGCAGTGTCTGCTTCTGTAGACATCCGGGGAGCAGTGTCTGCTGGGAGGGGACACCCGGGGAGCAGTGTCTGCTGGGAGGGCTGAGTCTTCCAGCGAGTGCTCTCCACGCACGCACAGCTCTCAGTCTGCACCCAGAGCTCGCGCACACCCGGCACGGCCCGACGTCTCATTCTTGCGGGCATCCGTCTCCTTGGAGGCAGGCCCCGTCCTCTTCCTTTTGTCTTATCTTCAATGCCTGGAATATCATAGGAGCCCAGAAAACGCTTGTTGTTTTGTTTTTAATTCCAAGTTAGAGCTATAATTCACAAAGTACACACCTCACATTTACTCTGGTAAATTCGCCCTTTAATTGAAATGCATTCATTTGCAGAACGCGATGCTGATAGGAGCCAGATAACTGGAGAATTGATGATTTGCTAAGTGCTGTGGGCCCCTTAGGATGTAAATTACAATATGGAGCATTTAGATACCAAACCCACTGGGGGAGGCACGGAGGATTATCCATTCTCACTCAGAGCACTCAATACAAACCTCAACTCACATTAATTAAAAATTCTAAATCATGCAATTGTTTTCTTCTGCAAATTCTTTTATGCTCTGTTTTATTTATCACCATTAATAATAACAATAATGATAACAATAATAATAAAGCTACTGTGTGATTAAGGTGCAGATAAACAACTAGGACACAAAATATTTACAGGTTTTTATGGCGCCCCGTGCTAGGAATGGGAATAGAAGCACTAGAAGAGAGATTGGTATGAGCTGGTTCCAGAAGATTCTCCCAGCGGGACTTCAGGTTCTGTTTGGTCTCTGATTCTGTTAACCTGTTCTCCCGAAAGCCGTCATTTGGTCACTCCTTCCTCTGACAACTTGTTGTGTGGCGAGTGTCTCCAATACACCAGGCAAGGTGTGGCGGTCAGCAGTGCGGTCCCCACGCTCGAGGCCCAGGGGTGGAGAGAGACAGGTACGGTCCGTGGCAGCGTGGTGCAACGTGATCAGCCAGGCAGTGGTAGGCGCTGCATGCTACGAGGTGGCTCTCCCTGTGGGTGGCGTGTCTGAGCCTCTAGGTAAGAGTGGGCCAGTCGGGGAGGGTCCCCGGGACAGGGGAGCACTATAGTTGGCGAATGCTTTGCCCTTGGAAGGTTCAGGTGCTGGGAGCTCAGTGGAGCTGGTGGGACCCAGCAGAAGGTAACTAGCTCACGTCACGGGGAGCTCTGCCCTCGGCAGGAATGAGGGCTTCCCCACGGGAGGGGGTCGGGTCTCATTGGGGCTGGGTCAGGTATAAAGCAAGGCCACCCCATGGGCATGGCGCACCCTCTGCGCACCATGGGTTCCCTTCCCACTGTGTGCCGTGTTGCAGCAAGGACGCCCTCCCTAGGACACCAGGGCCACGCTGTTGGGATCCTCCAGCCACCCAAGTCGTGAGCCAGATAAACTCTCAATCTGAGTAGCTCGGCCTCAGGTAATGTCGCCGCAACAGGAAACGGACTAAGGCGCTGGCGCCCAGGAGGCGACAGTGAGAAAGGAACCTGAGTGATGAGCGTGGGCCGCAGCCTGGGGCAGTGGGGGACCAGGGCAGGGTTTCTGGAGAACAGTAGATGGCTACGCACTTGGCACTGCTCTCTCTGGCTGCTTGTGGGTGGATGAGGCAGGCAGCAGGGATGCCAGCATGGGGTGGACGCACAAATACTCTGTCTCCATCCGTCCTGGGGCACCTGTGTGGCTTCTGGTCCTGAAATTCTCCGTGTCACCCGTCACCTGAGGAACAGGCACCACCTTGTCACCACACCAGCCTTGTCCTGTGCAAGGCCTCATCCTATGACCAGAAAATAGCCCTGCAGAGTAAGGCGAGTGCTACCCAGAAGCCTTGGGTCCTGACCCTGTCCCAACTGACCGCAGAAGCTTGGCCCAGGTCAGCTTCCTTTCTGGACCTCAAGGCCACTCCCTGCTTGTGGATAGGCAGATGTTCATGCATTCATTCACCAGTGATGTACTGGGCACCTAGTGTGAAGCCAAGCATAGTGTCAAGTCGTTTGTAGTAAGCAAAGCAGATAAGAATCACTACCCTCATAGAGCCTGCCTTCAAGTGCATGGAAACAATGCAGAAAATAAGTAACAAAAATGTACGAGGATGCTTCAAAAAGTCTCTGGAAAATGGAATTGAAAGATGTCTGTTTTGGGCCGGCGCCGTGGCTCAATAGGCTAATCCTCCACCTTGCGGCGCCGGCACACCGGGTTCTAGTCCCAGTCGGGGCGCCGGATTCTGTCCCGGTTGCCCCTCTTCCAGGCCAGCTCTCTGCTGTGGCCAGGGAGTGCAGTGGAGGATGGCCCAGGTGCTTGGGCCCTGCACCCCATGGGAGACCAGGAAAAGCACCTGGCTCCTGGCTCCTGCCATCGGATCAGTGCGGTGCGCCGGCTGCAGCGGTGGCCATTGGGGGGTGAACCAACGGCAAAGGAAGACCTTTCTCTCTCTGTCTCTCTCTCTCACTGTCCACTCTGCCTGTCAAAAATAAAAAAAAATAAAATAAAAAAATAAAAAATAAAAAAAAGAAAGATGTCTGTTTTGATTGCAAAAAAAGTTTTGAAATGTATGCAGTCTTTTTTGTAGCATGCATTCTCCATGAACTTTTTGAAGAACTTATCTTTCTAAAATATTTTCATTTACTTGAAACTCAGAGAGACAGAGACAGACAGAGATTCTCCATCCATTGGTTCACTCCCCAAATATGTGCAACAACCAGGAAGGGCCAGATCAAAGCCTGGAGCCTGGAAGTCCTTCTGGGTCTGCCATGCGGGTGGCAGGGACCCGAGCACGTGAGTCATTGCCTGCTGCATCCCTGGGTGGGCATTAGCGGTAAGTCCGATCAGAAGTGGAGGTGGGACTTCAACCCAGGCACTCTGATATGGGACACAGGCGTCTGGAGTATCATAGCCACAGTGCAAAACTCCTGTCCCTAAATTTATCTTTCAATTGCATTTTTCCATGAACTCTTTGAAGTACCTCCCCCCATAGTATGCTAGATGATGACAAGGGTAAGTGAGTTCCTTGTTCAAACTGGCCAGCTAGGAAATTCAGCCCCAGCCTCCTGCTGAAGACAGTAGAAAAGCTGGCCATGGGTTACAGCCTGGCCCACAAGAGCCGGGGCTGGGCCAGGCCAGAGCCAGGAGCCAGAAGCTCACTGCAGGTCTCCCACATGGGTGGCAGCAACCCATGTACTCGCATCATCACCTGCTGCCTCCCAGGGTGCACCTTAGGGAGCTGGAATCAAAAGTGGATCCAGCACTCAAACTCACACACTCCAACCTGAGATGCAGGTGTCGTAAACGATGTCTTAACCAGGGCACCAAATGCACCACTCACGTTATTTCTAAAAGCAATGTAAACAGACTCTGGAATACAATTTGAAAAAAAAGAAAAAGAGGCAACATTAACAATCATCAATAGAAAAAACAGAAAATAGGGGCCAGCATTATGGTACAGCAGGTCACATCGCTTCTTAAGGGACCAGTGTCCTGTGTCACAGTGCCAGTTCCAGTAATGGCTGCTCTGCTTCCCACCCACCTTCCTGTTAATGCACCTGGGAAGGCAGTCAATGCCGGCCCAAGTACGTGGGTCCCTGCCACCCACGCAGGAGCCTGAGGTGGAGTTCCTGGCTCTTCGGCTTCAGCCTCGTCCAGACTTGCCTACTGCCCTCCTCCTCTCTCTGTCTCTCTGTCTTTCAAAAAAGTAAATAAATAAAACTTTTTTTAAAAAAATTGAAGTATAGGCACTTAGTGTTTTATAACTCCAGACACAGATTTTAAAATAAGCAAAACTGACCATGTTGAAGGGGTTAGAGAAAAATTGCAGCTTTTAGCAGATAAAACCATACATTGTCAAAGAACCAAATATAATAATATAAATAACCACATAAAACCCCAAACTAATAACTCAATGATGAACTGAACCCATGCAACCGAAGAGAGTATTGTGAACTGAAAGACTGATAAGAAAGCAAAAATTCCAGCATTAAGTACAGAAAGACAAGAGCAAAAAAATTTTTAAAAACAAAAGTGAGTGATGGTGAAGTTACAGTGGATGGTCCAGCACGTATAACTGGAACTCAAGAAGAAATGGAGCGAGGACAGGGGTCAGAAGCAATGTTTTCAAGAGACAATGGCTGAGAACATTCCCACACTATTAAAAAATCAAATCACAGCTTCAAGAGGCACTACAAATTCCAAGCAGAATAAATACAAAGAAATTCGCACAAGGTACTCAAGGTAAAACCACTGACAACTAAAGACGGAGAAAAATCTAAAGAGCGAGGGAGAAAAGACAGGTTACTTTCAATGGTACAATAATTAGGCGTAATTAACTGACTTCTCCATAGAAACAGCAGAAGTCAGAAGACAATAGGCGGAATCTTGAAAGTGCTGAGAGAAATCTCCAGCTCGGAATTCTATGCCCAGGGAAAATACCCCTGGAATTAAGAACAAAGTAAGTTCTTTTTTTTAAAAAAAATGTTTCAGGGGCTGGCGCTGTGGCCTAGCAGGTAAAGCTGCCAGCATCCCATATGAGTGCCGGTTCAAGTCCCGGCTGCTCCACTTCCGATCCAGCTCTCTGCTGTGGCCCGGGAAGGCAGTGGAGGATGGCCCAAGTGCTTGGGCCCCTGCACCCACATGGGAGACCAGGAGAAGCTCCTGGCTCCTGGCTTCGTATTGGTGCAACTCCAGCCATGGCAGCCATCTGGGAAGTGAACCAGTGGATAGAAGACCTCTCTCTCTCTCTTTCTGCCTCTACCTCTCTGTAACTCAGCCTTTCAAATAAATACAGAAGTATTTTAAAAAACTGTTTCAGACAAATAAACACTGAGATAAAATTGTTCACCAGAAAATCCCCCACTCAAGGAAATACTCTTCTACAGCCAGAAGAGCACTGATTCAAGATGGCAATTTGGAGTTCAGGAAAGAATGAAGAGCAAAAGAAAAAATGAAAGTAAGTCCATATATAAATGAATCTTGATTTGATAAGGTAATAAAATATTCTCATGAAACAACATAAAAAATAAATGCAAGCGTGACATAGAAATGAGGGGCAAGTGACGTTGCCTTAAGGAACATGTATATAAAGGAAGAGAGTGTATATAAAGGTTAATGTTAGACCTCAGCAAGTCAAGGATAAAGACTCACACTAGGAGTCTTGCAATAAAATCACACAAGTGCTTAATTCAAAAGAATGCAGAGAAAGAAGTATACAATTTTGAGACAGATAAAGGCATTTAGTAAAACGATAAATGTAAACCTAGATACATTGGTATCGGCTTCAAATCCATGTGCTTGAACCAAAAGACAAAGATGTGAGACTAAATTGTAAAATTCTTACTGTACACTGCTTATTTAGAAACACAGCATTAAAAGATATACCATTCAAAAATGCAGGTGTAGTTACAGTAACATCAGATAAAACTGACATGAAGACACAAAGCAAGAGTAGAGTTAACGATTGTTTCATAATTATTCTTCTCTAAGATTTATGTATTTGAAATGCAGAGTGATACAGAGAGAGGGTGGATGGAGAGAGGTCTTCCATCCACTGATTCACTCCCCAAACGGCCACAACTACCAGGTCTGGGCCAAGCCAAAGCCAGGAGCCTGGAACTGCATCCCGGTCTCCCACGTGGGTAGTAAGGACACAAGCACTTGGACCGTGTTCTGCTGCCTTCCCAGGGGCACTAGCAGGGAGCTGGACCGGAAGGAGAGCGGCCAGGATTGGAACTGGCACTCGGACATGGGATGCTGGCATGTCTCACGCTTGACTCGATGCACAATGCCAGCCCCCCACAATTATTTTTGTTAAAATTTTTTTTTAATCCATAATCCTAGAGGGAGTGTCTTTTAAATACCTAAATAACAGAACAAGCAGACAAAAACAACAAGAAGTAGTATTACTAGTAGTAGTAGGAAGGGGAGGGGAGATTTGCAGTGCAATAGTAAGCAGGGCAGGGTGCCCTGGGCCCTACACTTTGATGATGGGATCGGGACCTGCTGCTTCCCCCACCCACACACCCAAGCCAGCTCGGCCTCCACTGAGCCACCAGGGTGCTTCTGGCCCTGTCTGCTGAGCCTTGAAGTGTGCATTGGCCCTGGAGCTCACATCAGATCACCTTCTTGGGGCAGGCACTATGCCGGGTGTCGATGGAGTTCCCGCAACAGGTGTGCACTCTGGCTTACCCTCCCCAGCCTGACAGTGGGAATTCTTATGCCCATTTTGACTGAAACGGGTTCTGCTGGTGGCCCAGCGTGCAGAGCAGGCTGCTGCTGCTCCTGCACCCTCGCCACGTCTCTGCACCTGGGGAACAGGCCCACCAGCTCTCTGCAGCCCGGAGCAGTCGGCCTCTTGCAGACCTGGCCCCTGTCCTGTTGAGCGCCCCAGAAAGCTCTCCCCTGGCCTGGAGTTCACATTGTCTCTGCAGCCTCACAGTACCCGCATTGACCTCCTCTCCCCTTTCCACACGTGGGGGAAAACCCAGACGTGGAAGGCACAGAGGGAGAGGCCTGGGGCGGCTCTCACTGTTGCTCTCGCCCACGCCCTGTTCTACTGCATAAAGAGAAAGCCTTCTGAGAATCAAGGTTTTGTAACAAAGAAACATCGTTTCAATCATTAAGCAAACAATGCACAAAAGACATTTTCTAGACTAATGAGGATAACCAAAGCTATCATTTTATTAATTCTATTATTTATTCGAAAGGCAGAGGAACACCGAGAGACAGAGATTTCTCCTCCTCCGATTCACTTCCCATAGGCCCACAGCAGCCAGGGCTGACCAGGCCCAAGCCAGGGGCTGAGAACTCCAGTGCTGGTCTCTCGTGGGGGCGCCTTGAACCTGACCACTAGCACCTGCAGCCTCCCAGGGTGTGCGCCAGCAGGAAGCTGAGGCGGGAACAGAGCCGGGACTTGAACCCAGGCACTCCGAGAAGGGATGAGGGTGGCAGCCACCGGACCAAATGCCTGCCCCAAAACTCATTTTGGGAGGGGCTCTGGCACCTGTCCTTTCAGCCTGTCCATGAACTGCAGGGTTGACCCTATCCAGAGACCCGTTTGGAGATGCCCAGGGACCCGGACAAGGGCACGGAGGGCGTAAGGGGTGGCTCCAGGGTTTGCACCAGGCCTGTGACTCCAGGCCTGTCCTCTGGCTGGGTCACAGCAGGACGCCCCCTCCTCACTCGGCCCTGAGCAGGCAAGGTGACCACAGCAAGGCCTCTTTGCCCGGTCCGCTGAGAATTGTGCATGGGGGAAACAGAAATAGACGAACACACTCTCCTCTAACCCAGAGGTCCGGTGTGCAGGCTCCTGATCTGACTCCCCCGCTGCCTCCTCTCCCAGCCGGGCGGCGGCACCTGCTGCAGAGCCGGTAGAGAGGCCGCTGCACACCCCGCGCCACCCCGCGCGTGGCCCCGCCGGAAGCAGGGTCGGGGAGAGAAAGTTCCTCGCCCAGCCCCGCAGCTCCTTGCCCGGATTCTGAAACCGGGAATAAAAGGCCGGGGAATGCCTCGCGCGCAGGACTCGCTGCTGCCGCAGACACAGACCGCGTTACTTCTGGGTGTCCATGGAGGAAGGCGGTTTCTTGGAAAATACTCCCTGCGACTGCTTTTCGGGATCTATTCAAGGGCAAGGGTACTAGGCAGACGCTTGGGAACTCAGCAGCTTGCTTCCCTGGGGACCGCGGTCGCCGGCCTCCTCTTCCGCCCTCCGCGTGGGCGATGCCAGCGATGCTACAAGGCAGCAGCCGGTCCTGTGATGCACTGCGCCTTCCCGGAGTATTAGAGATGTTTTGAATCTCTTTCTCAGGAATCTTGAACCCGCCAGTGGAACATTTTTTGATGTTGTGGGTAATGCAAGCAGCAGCGGCAGCGTGGGCGGGTTGGGCGGCGGGACAGACCCCGGCGTGCTGGGATCGCCGGGGACGCTGCCCGGGTTGGCGGAGCACCTGCCGGCAGTGGGTGCAGCCGGGGCTGGCGTGGTGTCTTTCCTTTGTCCGGGGCACGCAGGAGAGGCAGCCGTCTCCTGGGAGTGGGCAGGGTGTTTTGGGAAGAGAGAACCGGAGGAAAAGTGCCGTCATCCTGGAAGGAATTCTCCGGCCCCGCTCAGTCTTAACCGTTTGGCCGTTATTTTCTGCCTGGGCACTGGCCATCCAGACCACAGATTCAAATAAAGATCGCAGCAAGGGGCCGGGGCCGGCCAAGCTGGAGAAGGTGGTGTGATGGTTCGCTGTAGGTGCCGACTTGAATTACCACACGGTGCCTAGATATTTGGCCAAACATGACTGAGAGTGTGTGTTTGGGTAAAATGAGCATCTCACTGGGTCAGGAAAAGGCCAGAGTGGGACAGGACACTCCAGGAAGGGGCCCCCCTCTGGCTCTGAGCTGGGCTGGACACAGGTCTGCCCTCGGCTCAGACTGAAGCCTCAGCTGCCGTGGGGTGCCACGCCTGCTGGCTCTCGGACTGGTCTTGACCCCAGCGGCCTTCCTGGGCCCCAGAACTTCAGATAGGAGCAGTGCCACCTAGTCCCCTCGGTTCCCAGCTGGCCAGCTGCACCCCACAGGACTCTATGGTCTCCAATTGCTTGTCATAAATTCATAGATGAAGGGGATTCAAAAAAATTCATGGAAAGTTTATTTCACAGGTAGATTTATTTTGGTGAAAAAGATTTCTGAAGCCCGTGCAGTTTTTCACAATACATATTTTCCA